GCCGCTCTCTGTCCCTACCCCTTCTGCTCTGCAACGATATAGCAGCTCCTCTGCTAAAAACCCCAGCAATGCAACCCAGCAGCAGAACAAGATCCTCTGCAGCCGTCCAAGCACCACAGTCACCTGGCACAAGTCTGATGGGCAACATCAAAATAACCCATCACAGCACAGAGGTCAGGGACCAGCAAATCCACAGGTTCTCTTTTTCGGAGCCATACTACACCAAACACAATTTAACTTCCCAAATTTCTAACATCTGAACCAGTTTCTGATCAACAGACACGTTGTATGTTTTCCTAGCCCACAAATAAAACTGGGAGTAAAAGATGAAGAAATATTTTGTTTTTAAAGCCTTGGAATTTTCAATGCTAATAGAAGGGTAACTTATGGCATAGCTCCCAGCTGCAAGTAGTAATGTGAACAGTGAAAAAAAAGCAGACTGATAATTCATTCACACTTGCTGAGGCACAGAGGGTTCCTACAATGACCTCCACATTCTGTATTTGAATTTTAAATGGCCATATATTTACACTACGCATACACTGTATACGATTAGATCTTAACAAGCTAATTCCCCACTGAACAGGCTCTGTGTAAGCAAACAAGAATATGGATGTATTTGAGTTGAAAAATATCGTTTCCTTAAGGCTACACTCTGCCAGCTTTAAAGTGCAAGGTCCTATTTATACAGGATAGCAATTCTTAATGGGAAGCTGGAAAGTATTTTTGCAACTGTTAGGCCCTTTTGTGTGGAGAAGGGTTCAAAGATTTTGCTGCAGGATGACAATTATAAGATAAAGATAACATCATAGCCATATGTCAAAGGCACAGCAGTCTGATTAACATAAATAAGAGAAGTATGTATTTCCTTCACTTCAGTACACAAGTAATTCAATGAAGGAGCTCAGTTCTCATTTGAATCTCATGGTGTTATCCAGCTACACAATATATCATGCACATCTGCAGGGATGCTTCCTAAGAGGGGCCAGGAAAATAAGAGTTTCAACTTGAAAAAGATAAGGCTTTGAATTTCTTTTTTTTTCCTAGGATATAGGTAGGTGATTTGGGTCACCATCCCTGTTCCCGTGCAAGCAGGCTCCATACTCTGCAGTGGCCCAAGCACCAGGTATTTTAAGGTTTGTCCTTTCTGGCCAAATATTCTACCAAGAAACCTTGCCATAACAACTCTACCAAAACCAAGACATTTTCTTGCAATTCACTGTCTTTGCTGAAAATTTTAAAAACTTTTTTTTTTTTTTTTTACTTTTTACAAAAAAATTGCAGAAGGGAAAGCATTTTTGGCTCTATGAAGTATTCGGCTCTTCATTCTGCTTACCCTCACCAAACTCTCCTTTAGAATAGAATGGAATTCTGCCCAAGACATGAAAACAACAGGGAACATCTCTTAATTTGCTTAATAATGCATGAAGAAAAATGTTCGCCAAAAGAGAAGCAAGACATTTCATATATTGCAAATTCAGGAAGGTTAGTTAATAAGTTAGACTACTGACAGTTAATGCATTCCCCAGAGAGCACACAAAGACAGTGCTCGGTGGAGGTTATTTTTAACAGCACCCTGTTGTTTTAATGTCTCTGTTAACTCTCTTTCTTTCTGCACATCTGTAAGCAGGAGGGAAACATTTCAAAAGACAAGAGAGGCAAAAAAAAAAAGGCACTTTCCAGCTTATGAGAACTGTCAAAAATATTTGTCAGAAGTCTGTCTGGCTCACTGAGGTTTTTGACAGCCACGTGTTAGGCTGGTATTTTTCCTTGCAAACAAGACTTGAGGAACATGTCCTGACCTTTATCATTTTGTGGGGCTTTTCTCTCAGCACATCACAATTTTTGTAGCGCTCACTCTTGTGTTTGTTTTGGTTATATTTTTTTTTCTTAAAAAGAAATCATTTTTATCATATTATCCACTGAAATACCACCAAGTCAGATTGTGTTGTATTGTCTAATAGAACATGACTGGTGCAACCTAACAGAATGTGTTTATACAAGGTTTATACAACAAAACTTAGAAAAACATTAAACGCTGCTATTATAAAGCATGAACATTAAGGAAATACATGAGACTATGTTAATAATACATTTGTTTACCTGCCAGGTTAGAGAAGCTTGTTTAATACAGATTAAATTTTCATCACCCACCCAAATATCAGTATAGCCACGTAAGTGATTTGAAAGAAAAATCAACGCTCACAATTGAAGGAAGAGCATGAGGCTCCAGGCATTTTCTGTATATCCATTATTCTGCAGGGTGAGGTTTTTATATCTTTGGCTTAGATGTGGTATAAAATGCGTTTAGTGGTGAGATATGAGATTTCTGGCTTATTCTCGGGCAGCTGCCAATGCAGTACTCTAAGTGACCCCTTCCAGGGCTTCCTGCCACTCTCTGTTTTCCCAGCACAGGCTCACAAGAGGCCCTCAGAGGTGTGGAAGGTTTTGCATGTAGTCTCCATGCTGTGGAAATATTACTCTAATGGCTCCAGAAAGGTCCCCAGACTCTCTGAGCATCAACCAGGAAAGAAGGGTTAAAGCCATGTCACCCGAGTCATTTACGGTTGATTGAGCAAAGCAGCAGAAGGCATGCAGGGCATGGGTAACCGCCCAAGGACAAGGCAGGCTAACATACTCCTGGGTCTCTTTCTGCCTCTCATCCTCTAATACCCACTGGCTCACACTCCCCAGTTGACCACAGGACTGCTGTGACTCCCAGGCAGCCACTGCAGACACCTGGGCTTCTCCAGATGGCCCTTCACCACATGAAGACCTGTCTCATTAGTTGACAATTCTTTCTCACCATTACCTACAGAGAAATTTGAGCCACATCACTTTTTCTCAGCTTATTCTTATTCTGTGGACCACCTACCTGAATCATAATAATATGACAGGAATCTCATGCAGAAAGACTCCAGGAATGTATGCACATACACCCATGGAGCTGTGGAGCAAGAAATCTGGCTGTCAGTCAGCTATACACATGATCTCAATCATTACAACTGTTCAGCAAGACATTATTTCAGGTTTACTTAGGCGAGGATCATAGCTAATACACACTGAGCTCTATCATTTCCTGTGACAACAGAACCAAGTCATGCAGAAATCCTGCTCCCCGTACAAACGAGGAGAAATTTTTATTCGAGTCTAGTCAAGCTTTTCACTGTTAATCATTCCTTACACTTGTCCTCATTAAACATTAACAGCCTTAAACATTCTCATCTGCTTGCTGCCAAGACAAACCAGCTCGTGGCTGCTGCGGGACCCAGATGGGACGGCTGGACCAAGGGCTCTTCTTCCTCATCCTCTGCACCCCACAGGAGCATCCCCCTCTTAGCACTGCTGCGATCAGTGCAGTAAGGGACAAGGGGGCTCAGTCCAAGAGGGAAGAGACAAGTAGTGGCAACATATAGCTTTACAGAGATCTCATGAATTTCTGGATGTAAATCTGACTGGATGCTACTGTTGTCCACAAAGAAAGAAATATGTT